AAAAAGGTTATGAACCGTTTTAGAAAAATTGCATTCGTTCTAATAGGGTTTAAACCGTTCACTCAAAAGCTGCGTTTTCCCAACCAAAAAAACACGTCCCCTTGAAACAAAATCGGTCCTTTTCTGGTAGCACGCACAAGCCCTCGCCAGTCCAAAACCCTCCCTAACAAGGCCCATAACACATCCCTATTACCGTTCAGAAACTACACAAGCTCAGGTCCTCTTTTTCCACTGTTCCGACACTCACGCTCGGAGCACCTGGTTTCTGTAGTCCCCTGCATTCCCCTGCCTTTCTAGCCGTATACATACTACCCATGAGCCTCTTTCTTCAAGGCGGCTGGCACTGGGCGCATCGCGAAGCCTTCGCGGTAGCACCCTGAGCCTGCTGCCCTGAATGAAAAGTCTGCGGCCCGTGGCCAAAAACTGCATTGGCTGAAAAAGCTCCCCAGCAGCCAGGACGGCAACAGAAACTTCAAGGCCAAGCCTCAGGAACTGCTTCTCAGCATTGATCGTCGTCGTCATCAAAATTAAGATCCAAAAGCTCGTCAAGCTCTTCGCGGGCAGAACGCATCACCCTCAAGTCAGCGATCATCTTCGCATGCTTCTCAGCCAGAAGATTGTTTTTTTCCTCCATCACTTGCACCAGCTGCTGTGCTAACTCCGCGGCTTTGGAGTGCAGAGTTCTGTTCAGTTCCTGCAGCTCACTCACCTTCGACTGGGAGGCTTCTAGCTGTTCTTGCAAGGACTTTTCTGAGGACTTCTCAGCCACCTCATTGCGGGGTTTCGGTTTTGGGCTTGGGTCCTCGTTGATATTCACGATAGTAGGCGGCGGATACAGCTCTACCTGGGTGTCTGGAAAATCGCCTTCCCATTCCAGGCATGCATTCTTGCGCTTCAGGCCAGTCTGGTGCACTGCAGTAGAACTAGCAGCAGGCACAACCGGTGAAGCCAACGTGCGCCCCGCTGCCCAAGTCCCTGGATCAACCTGGCTGTCGAACAGCACAGAGTCGTTGTCCAGCATCACTTGGCTATCGAACAAACGTTGGCTGGACATCCTGAAAGGCACACCGCTCAACACCGAAACTGACAGAGCTTAACTTCTGCGGTTCATGAAATGCAGCAGTACAGCAAATGCTCTCCCCTGTCCCATCCTAGATGATATTAATGCATAAACCTTGGGTGGGACCTCGGGACACAGACCTCAGGACACACAACCCCGGACATGCCCCGGACATCCCGGACATGCCCCGGACATGCCCCGGACATGCCCCGGACATCCCGGACACCACCCCGGACACCACTCCGGACATCCCGGACACCCCCTCAACACAACCCCGTCCCCCCCCCCGAAACTCCTGACATAACCCCGGACACCCAGGACTCCCTACGGCCCTACGGCTTTGGCCCACAACTTTTTTGTTTGTGGGTTGTCTGAGAGCAGATTGTTCACAGGTGAATCGATACATCCCTTTGCAAGCTTCAAAAGTGAAGCTTGGCTGACAGGGAACCCGGTGACACTGTGCACAGTAACACCCTGAGAAACCCGACCTCAACAGTAAGCACGAGTGTGTACCCAAACCGCTTCTCCAGAGCCTACAGCTTCAGATACTGCTGAGGTCTGTACTTGTCCTAGTCCTAAGGCTCTGCTCTCAGACGCTGATCCCACTATTCTCCCGCACGTCTTGGTGTCAGTTGTATCTTCCCAGGGTTCGGAAAAAGGCAAGAATGGGTTAGCTGCAAAAGCAGCAGCCCACAGTGTAGCTGCCAAGCAGCACCCCTGCCAAAGGGATAGCTGCGAAGCAGCACCCTTGCCGATGGGTTAGCTGCAAAAGCAGCAGCCCACAGGATAGCACCCCTGCCGAAGGGATAGCTGCGAAGCAGCACCCCTGCCGAAAACAACTGTTAAAAACCGCACCCCGATGAGATGGGGTTGCGGGGAGCAGGCAAGTGGGTAGCCAACAGTGGCAGCCACGAAGCCAAGGTGAATGATCCATAAGGTCACAGGTTAGCAGCAGAAGCTGCAGCCTGGACGCTAAGGATGCCGCACAGTTCACCTCTCGCGGATCCACTTCAGCAGCTGGCCGGTTCTTTTGGACTCCAGTGTCGGGTCCTGTTGGACCTGCCTCTCCAGGTGAGTGAGAGCCGTCTGGAGGCTTTTGTCAGACACGATGTGAATCCTGGCTCCGTGGCAGGTCTCAGGTCCCTGCAGGCTCAGATGAACGAACAAACAATTCGTGGGCAGCACGACTCCCCTCCCAGGGCGGCATGTCACACACCAGCCATCCCGCTCAACTGCCGTGAGGAACTCTTCTGCACGCATCCGCTCCAGGTGCTGCAGCATCTCGGCCGTCGTGTTGCCGGCTAGCTTCTTCACGGGGAACCCCAAGTAGATCTCCTTGCCTTCGCAGCAGATGCGCAATTCGGGCAAGCCCCAGTCAGTGGACATCGAGAGGCGGCCGGAGTCCCCGGCCATCTGGTAAAAGTACAACTGCCAGATCTCTTGCAGCTCCTTGCTCGAGGGTCGTGCCACGGAACGCAGTGGCACCGGCAGGATCTGGTCCAGCTGCTGCAAGAAGGGCCTGGCCACATTGTCTCTGGTGACCACCGCACACGAATACTTCTGGCTGCTCCTCAGCAGCATCTGCTCCACCCACTTCTTTTGCTCGCTGTAATACTCGTGCCGGGTCACATCCCGGGTAAAGCCTTCCATCGGCGTTGGTGGGAGCAGAAGGGGCACTGTCATCTCATCCTCTGGCTCCGTTGCGCAGTTGATGATTTCATCGGGAAGCGGGTTCTCCTTGAGGTGCTTCAACAGATTGACCACCAAGGCGGGTGTCTCGGCAGCTGCCTGGCTGTTCGGATGATCAAGCTTGGCCTTCTTGTTCGAACCCCTCACTGTCGCCTTCGCGGCCAGCTTGTCCCGCTTCTTCACCTCCTTCTTGCAGTCTGAGGTGAATTCGCGGAAGTTTTTAATCTGCTGCTTCGTGTCCACACTGCCTGGCAGTGCTTGCCAAGGTGCCACTCCTTCATGTAGGCTGCCAGATCCTTCTCCATTGACACCATGGCTTCGATGTCAAGGCTTTCGTCACCAGCCTTGGTGTTCCATTCTGCGATGGACTCCTCCATGGCAGTCTCCAGGTCCTTGATCTTGCCATTCAGCACTTTCGTCTTTTCCTCGGCTTCTCTCTTCACGGGGACGTCTGACATGCACAAAGCATTCGTCAAGTCCTTGCACAAGGTGTCTGCTGTGGCCTTCTGACGCTTCAACAGCTCGGACATCGAAGCATTTGCCTTGTGGATAGCGTTGGTGAGGCTGAGCTTTGCCACTGCCAAGGAGGGAAGCTGGGTTGCTTGCTTCTCCTTCAACTCTTTCCTCTTTTGATCAGCTTTCTCCTTGAGTGCCAAGGCTTGCTGCTGAAATTCAGCAGCTCTGTTCTCAGCAACTTCCTTCTCTTGCTCCAAATCTCGTCGCACCGCGACGGCCGGAACGTAGGCCTGCTTGCCCTGCTGCTCTGACAGAAGCCGCTCTGTTTGGAGCTTGTCAGAAGCACGGTTCATGCGAGGTCCGATTTCCTCTTCGAAACCATCAAGCTGCTCGCCATCGCCAAGGTCAGTCCGCTGCCGCACGGATGCTGCAACGGTATGGCGGTCCACGACATTTTCCAGATCTCCGTTGTTGACCCGGAGGCAGAGTTCCCCGTTGATCTCCTTGGTCACAACGTCCGGATCTGTGCAGCGCTGCTCGTAGGCTACCATAGCATCCTCCAAGGTACTGTACTGCTTCAGGATCATTTCCCGTGCGCACCAGTCGCGGGGGGTCATGTATCGTGAGCCGCTGCAATCTTCGTTCCCAGTCTGGCGAGTCTCTTCCAAGGCCCCCACTGCCGTTGCGAAGGTCCTGCGGCTTTT